GTATTAACTTACACAATCACAAAATCCCACAAAGATCCCACAATAGGGCATCTGAAGAGCAAGGAGAGCCAATCCAACTTCCAAAACTGAAGAACTTGGAGTCTGATGTTCCAGGGCAGGAAGCATCCAGCACAGCAGAAAGATGTAGGCCAGGAGGCTGAGCCAGTCTCTCTTTTCATAATTTTGCCTGCTTATATTCTAGCTGCACTGGCAGCTGATTAGATTATATCCACCTAGGTTAAGGGTAGGTCTGCCTTTCTCATTCCACTGACTTAAATGCTAATCTTTTTTGGCAGCACCCTCACAGACATACCCAACATCAATACTTTGTATCCTTCAATCCAAACAAGTCCACACTCAGTATTAACACACGAAGTGTTAAACACAAAGTATTAAACAGAACATATTACGAAAAGAACTATCCATATATCTTAGAAATGTTATAAAATAAATTGGTGTCCATGATTATTAACTGGCATTCACTAGATATACATAATTTAGTCGATCGAATCTTTCAGGACTCAGAACATGATACCCCAAAAATATGATGCCTTGGCATGCTGAGTATTTTGGGCTGCAAGGATTGGGAGGACAGTAGAATCAGGAAGCCCTCTATGAATTTTTCTCCCTAGAAGCTGGACATAGAAACTAGAATTCCTCTCCTCCAAACCTAGCCATAAAACCCAGAAATTTCACTCCCTGACTTCCTCCATTCCCTCCTGAAGACACTTGTAATAAATGTCCTGCCCCATGCCTAGAAGCCAAGAAGAATCTGAAGACATAGGCCTTGCTGAGGTTACCCTAGTTTACTATCAGGCCTTGCTGAGGTTACCCTAGTTTACTATCATAAGGTCATACCCCATTATTGTCCAATCATACTTCTACATGACTGTCCATTCTTCATAAAAAAATTTTCCCTGAGTCTTTGGATCTTCCTTTCTGAAGCCTCCCATGTTACACAAAAGTTTGATAAATAAGCTTCTTATACTTTTCTCTTGTTAATCAGTCTTTGATGTAGGGATGTTACCTTCATGAACTTCCAATGAGGAAAATATATTACTTTTACTCCCCTACAAATCTTTGGTTTTATTGAATCCTTTTTGAAACAGCTTATTATAAGAAAACAAAAGAAGGTAGTTTAATTTTAGAATATATGCCTTGTTAATTTTGTACTGTAATTTCAACACATATGAATTGATTTAAATGGACATTTCAGTCATTTAATCTAAAATTTAAACTAATGTAACAGATGGAATTCAGCCACCCAAGCAGGCTTCTGGGGTTTGATTATTCAAATGATTAAGATGCTATTTGTCAACTCTAGTTTACCACCCCTTTTAATTATATAGATAATCAAACTAAGAACTGCTAATTCTGTCTCCTAACTATTAATTGTTTGTAATTACCTACAGATTAAAACTGCATGTGCAATTAACTCAAAGAATTAATTGATACAAGAGAATTGATAAAAGGGAAACAGAACGAGTTTGGCATAAAAGAGGCTCTAGGGACACAGGACCACTAAACCCAGTAATGTCTTTGGTTTCATCATATCCTAATAAAGATACATTTTCATTTGAACTTCCTTCGACTCTGTGGAAGGCAGATGTACATACTGTTTCTTAAGAGCCTGTGGTTTCTAAGTTGACTTACACAGTGTATTTTTAAACTCTGAACTGCTATTGCTTTTGGGTCTTTTGCTGAAATCTAGGTCCATTGAACAAATGTATTGACTTGCGATATGAAGATAATATTTATCACTACAAAAATTATAGCTGTAGGGAAAGTCTTAACTACCTAAGAACTTTTCTTTCCTTCCTTTTCTTTCCCTTGTTTCTTTTCTCCTTCCCTGACATTATCACCTGTGGTAGATGATCTTTTCAATTTTATGTGAGTCATTTGTATAATTTAGGCCTCTAAAATAACAACTGCTTATTATGTTTTGGAAATGTCTCCCACCTCTGTAAATAATTGGCTAATTGTTAACTACATAAATTTGAATAAAAACAAAATAAAATTGAAAAATGATTACCATTATAAAGATCAAGATGATGCTAGAAAGTGAGGGGAGAGGGTCTGGTGAAAAATATCTAAAAACCAGAATTTAAAAAACCCATTTTTAAGGATTTCTTTTCCTTATGTATTTATTTCAGTTGAATTATGTGGGACCTTTCACTCTTACAGTTTTGTTGGTTAGCCTTGTAATCAATGCCAAATTTGGTTCTAATCCAGGAACGTGCACACACGCACATACACATACACACACACACACACACACTGGGCACACCATTATATATTCAGTTTTATGACACATACAAACCAAGTGAAAGACTTTTAAGTCTAGATATGCAAGTTAGACATGCAGAAAGACAGCACACTAACATGAATTAATATTTTTTTGATGATAGTCTAAAATACTGAACAAATGCAAAGTCAGAAAGGTGTCAGTATGAGTACTTATTTAACAATTTTTTTTAATATTCAAGGATTGCTACTTTTTAACTCCTTGTTAAACTGATGTGACCATTTTGGTTTCTTTCTAAATCTTGATCTTGATACTGCATTTTCCTCAGATTTGTTTACGATACTTTGTTCTGTCCTGCTGACTGATGACTGGGATTAAGATTTCTTTTCCACTTATGTATACAGCCTGCTCTTGTGCATATGTGTACACACACATGCACACACACACACACACTTGGGATTCAGAGCTTTTTTTTCTATGTGGCATTATCTGTGAAGATTGTTGACTCCAGGAAGGGTTTGTGAAGATTTAGTCTGATTAATGACTTTGGTCTTCATCAAACTATTAGCTTTTATAACTTTCCACCGACTTTGTGGAATAAACTGGAATTTGTTGCATGTCACCTTCTGTGCCTGGCTTCTAAGGAGGAGTGATTAGCATATATCAGTGTGTGAATGATTACCTTGAGGATTTTAGTGGAGGCTTTACTGCTTCCTGAAGCGGAAAAGTTATAGCTATATTTTCTAGAATGATACCTATGTACTGGGAGAAAATAATGCATCGTGTTTTCAACTCTGTGAGTCTGTTTTGTGAGTAAACAAGATAAAATATTTGAAAATGCTCTGGAGTCTATTGGAAAAATAAGTTATATAGGTTTTAGTTTTATATTGAGTTGTACTCTTCAATGATCAAGAAGATATCCTCTTTGCCTATAAGATTCCACTTCTTCAGACCTATTATTATTATTTTTAATTACAGAGGAATTTTATTTATTTAATTTTATTTTTTAAATTGGCACATAATAATTCTATACATTTGTGGAGATACAGAGTGGTGTTTTTACACATATAATGCATAGTGAACAGATCAGAGTAATTAACATATTCATCATCTGAGACATTTGTCATTTCTTTATGTTGGAAATGTTCAATATCCTCCTTCTTATTCACCAGTGTTTACATAGCTACCTTGTTCACATTGCTAATGAATCAGAAACACAGAACAGTTCCAAGTAAGTATAATCCTTGCCTTGGAAGAGTTTATATATTCAAAAAGGAGATTGGAAAGAGAAGCACAATCATATAAAATATTTATGAGATGTCACTTACTGTATGTAGTAGTGCATTAAGAAGAGTGGGTAGGCCAGGAATGGTGCTGATGAATTGGAGAAAACTTTGAATTAGTTAAGAGGGCATTATAAGAAATGTAAGGGTGTACACATCTTAATAACTCTTGTGTTACTCTTTTATACTCTCTTGGCCTTATAAAGCTGCCAAATGAAAGTATAAAGAGCATGGCCTTTCCCTTGTTGTCTTCTTCTTAGGTACTAAAATGCTCAGATTCTCTATAGGTTACTCATTATTGGCATTTGCTTCCATTAAAAAATTTCACAGATTCACATTGAATTGTGATTCAAATATGATTGTGTTGCCTCTTCTAGAGATTTTGCCTTTTTGAAAGAGGGCACAGACTCTCAACTGAAATGGAAGAAATATATATAAAATTAAAATGAGGCAAGAATGTATATTTACTAATTAGGATGTCTCTGAGATAACATTACGTTTTCATTATTTTATGTTACTTCATTGCCTCTCCATAGACCACTAAACTTTATGATCCTGTAAATAAATGGAAGCAATGAAGTGAGAGAATTTCTTACTTTCAAGTTTTCTATAACTTTATATAAAACTAAGCAGTCCATGGATGACTTTATTAAATTGAAAGTTTCAGGAAAGACTATGTATATATACGCACACACATATATACACATTATCATCTATACCCATATATACATGTGTGTGTGTGTGTGTGTGTGTGTGTGTGTGTGTGTATAGATATGAAGGCAAATTGGAAATATGACGATAGTTTGATTCATTTGGATGACAGGATTGAACTGAATTTTCTTTTTAAATGATTAATATCTCTGAGAAATAAATGGATAAATAAATCCTAAATCTCCTTTCCATGATTAAAGTAAAAAGGTTTCTGTAGAAATCTTATGTACCAACTGTCATGAGACAGAAGAAATATGGGGTGATGCTGGCTCAACTTTTGTGCTTTCAACCTATTTACCTTAAATACTTTTAATAACTTAATTTACTTGGCAATTTCAAAACTTGTGCCTTATAATAATACTGAATTTTCTTTTAAAGTATGTAACACTGAGAGGTTTTCCTTTTATTTTTATAAGTGCTATTCACCAATATGATTTCACTTTAAGATTCCTTTAAAAAAAGAAGATGTTCTTCAGGAGGACACCATGAAGACAATGAACCTACTAGTTTTTTGATGGGTATGCTATGCAATAAAAGCATGAGAGTCTTACCTTATGAAGGAGCCAATTAATTGACGCCTCTCTCTATGCAATCCTATCACTTCTTCACTTCTCTCTGATTAGATGACAAGATGTGATTTTAGTACAGAATAGTGAGCCCATAAAGATGATTTGCTTTACTCTTTGCAACAGTAAGCAATATAATCAGTGTGTACTTTTCCTGGATAAATATTGTTTAATCTACATTGATATTTCTAACAGACAAAGTGTTCTATGACTGGAGAGGATTTGTGCCGACAAGGTCTTTCCGTTTGGCTTGTGACTCCGGTCGAGTTAGTTTCTCTCAATCATCATCAATATTTCAGGATTATTATAATGTAAGTATTTATAAAACTATATGTAGAGTGGAATTACCATTTTTCCAGTAAATTATTGAGTTAATTTTAAAGAAAGCACTTGAGATTTTACTATGGACCTATTTCAGTCCTAAGATACTTCTCCATTGATATTCTTTTTTTCTGAAGCAATGCTTTAGTTCTGTTCTTTTGTCTTGCTTAAATCATGCTGATCACCCTAACCCACAATATGCGTGTCATTTTTTTATTTGAAAAGCGTTAGTCAAAGTGATCATCACATGGTTTGCCCCAAATGTGTTAGTACATCAACTATTTTTGTAATGGTACATAGACTATCCAGAAAACATAATGAAGGCCAGGGGAGAATGTAGACATCTGTTAAAGGCATGATAATGGAAGGATTAAAAAAGCCAAGGGCAGTTTTATGATCACATGTTGATGGTTTTCTGAATGAAGACTCTAATCCAGGGCATGACAACCTGTGATCTAAAAGTAGAGTTGGTACTTTAAATTCATCTGTTTGTTAAAGGAAGTCCTAATACATACATGTGAATAGTAGAAGAAACTCATATTATTCAGACATCTTTAGCTACAATTTCTTAAAAGGTCACATAATGCTATTTTACCACATTGTATTTCTTACTGTCTGTAAATATGTCTGGGTTTCTTGCATCTCTCACATGTTCTGTTCTGTGTGTGAATATGTCTGTCGTGTAATGGTATGATCTCAGCTCATTGCAACCTCCACCTGCTGGGTTCAAATGATCCTCATGCCTCAGCCTTCCAAGTAACTGGTATTACAAATGCCTGCCGCCACACCTGCCTAATTTTTGTATTTTTAGTAGAGACAGAGTTTCATCCTGTTGGCTAGGCTGGTCTTGAACTCCTGACCTCAGGTCATCTGTTCACCTTGGCTTCCCGAAGTGCTGGGATTACAGGTGTGAGCCACTGCGCCTGGCCACATTATCTTTCTTCTGTACTAATGCATCCTTGGTGTCATATTGGATTAGGACTCTACCCTTATAACCTCATTTAATCTTAATTACTTTCTTCAAGGCCTTATCTCCAGTGGATATTAGAACTACTGCATATGAATTTTAAGGGGACACAACTTAGTCCATAACATTATTAGACAACTGAAATATATTTTACAAAATTATTTTTTCTATCTGTTGAATAGTTCTTAATCTGTCATTTTAAATAACACATGTTGAATTTTTATATTTTTTTTCTGTAAACCAAACCTTTTAAGTTTGGGTTTGTTGCCTAGGTATACATGTGCCATAAGTGGTTTGCTGCACTTATCAACCTGCTACCTAGGTTTGGGTTTGTTACACAGTTATATGTGTGTCATGGTGGTTTGCTGCACCTATCCACCCACACCTGGGTTTTAAGCCCTGCATGCATTAGTTATCTGTTCTTGTGTTCTCCCTCCCCTCCCCATACCCCACCACCGCCCGACATGCCCTGTGTGTGTTGTTCCCCTCCCTGTCTCCAAGTTCTAAGTAGTCTTTTTTCATTTTAAATGAAAATAATTTAAAATTATTGTTTATAAATTTATATTTTATAAAATATACATAACATAAATTTTACCATTTTTAAGTTTATAGTTTGGTGGCATTCATCACAATCACATTGCTGTGTCACCTTCATCACTTTCCATCTCCAGGGCTTTTTTATCTTCCTAAGCTGAAACTCTTCATTATTAAACACTAATTGTCTGTTTGTCCTTGCCTTGATGCCCTGGAAACCACCATTCTACTTTCTGTCTTCGTGAGTTTGACTTCTCTAGGTGCCTCATATAAGCAGAATCATAGAATATTTGTTCTATTGTGACTGGCTTATCTCAGCATGTTTTCAAAGTTCATACACATTGCATCATGTGTCAGAATTTCTTAGGCTGAATAATATTCTATTGCATGTATATACTACATTTTGTTTATCCATCCTCCCATCAATGGACACTTGGGTTGCTTCCATCTTTTGGATATTTTGAGTAATGTTGCTACGAACATGGGTATACAGGTATTGTTTGAGTTCTACTTTTACTTTTTCAGGTGTGTACCCAGAAGTGTAATTTCTAAAACATATTGTATTTCTCTGTTTAATTTTTTGAGGACTTACCATATCATTTTTCACAGCAGCTGTACCATTTTACCATCCCACTAGGGTAGAATCAAAGGCACAGGAAACTTGGTCTTTGATGTCATTGGAAGAGAGATAAATATAACATATTCTACTTAGAAGAACTCTTTACAGCTTAGTTACTCTTATCACAATCTTAATTTGCTACAATAACAAAGTCAGTGTAGATATGCTTTCTTTAGGCTAGAAGAACACTGTGCTTTTTAAGCCTGAAGTGCTTTTTAAAATGTATTTTGTATCCTCACGTTTTTAGTTCTAATGAAAAAAATTCAGTAGTGCTATATGACTTTATGCTTTAATGTTTCACTTCTGCAACCATGTGTTTATTGTATGAGCATTATATTAGAATTTCCAGTTACTTTAAGCAGTGGCACATGGGCCTCTGAAACTTTTTAATGTAAAATTTTGAAAACTGCTTCCTGAAGAAACAGTTTCTGATATTACTTTTTATGGTCTCTGAAGTACTAAGATATTTTTAACCTTAATTATCCTGAAAGATAATATATATCTAAGGTGAGTGAGACCCATGAATATAATTCCTGGTGTAGTTCTTCTTTAAAATATTTGCTAACTTTATGATAATGTATGAAGCAATCTTGGAACATATAATGTGGAGCATTGCAGTTGTGGTTGAAAAAAAAATCTAGCCTTGGTATTTATCACAATTCTGAGACACGAAAATCAATGCACTTATCAATAATGTTCTTAAAATAGGATAAGAACAAATATTGGCAGAAATTTGTATAAGTGATTTCTAGTTAATACTTGAAAATACAGAAGAGAGTGAAATAACTATAATTAATTAGCTGTCAATATGGCAGGACTCTCCTCAGCAAGTGGCTAATGTACTATGTTGCAGTGGTCCTAAGAGTCAAGAAGGTGTCCCTGAGAAGAGCTCTGCCAGTTGGTGATACCCTAGACCAAGCTCTTGTCCAACCTGCAGCCTGTGGGCCACATGCAGCCCAAGATGACTTTAAATGAGGCCCAACACAAATTCGTAAACTGTCTTAAAATATTATCAGATTTTTTGGCAATTTTTCTTTTTAGCTTGTCAGCTATCCTTAGTGTTAGTGTATTGTATGTGTGGCTCAAGACAATTCTTCTTCCAATGTTGTCCTGAGAAGCCAAAAGACTAGACACCCTTGCCCTAGAATGAGGAAGAGCTGACAAGGGAGTGTCTGTCCTGCATGAGTACATGCATGTTGCAGTGGTGATAGAATCCAGGGATACCAGGAAAATTATTCCAGCCCCAGAAAGAACAGCTGTGGCTGTTCAAGGTAGAAAGACAGGATACATCTCAGAGACTGAAAGAAATTCAGTGTGGCAAAAGCACAGCATGCTAGAGAGAAAGTGACAAGAAATGAAGCTGAAGAAATAAGCAAGGACCCATAATCAAGTGCCCTGTAGGTCTCTTTAATGAGTTTATGCCCTAGGATAGGAGGAAGCCATTCAGTTACTTTACAGCTTCTTAACTCTCAGTGAAAAGAATTTGCCTAACCTTGACGCTTGAAGTAAAGGATTACAAGCAAATAGAATTTAGTCTCATGGCCGGGCACGGTGGTTCATGCCTGTAATCCCAGCATTTTGGGAGGCCGAGGCAGGTGGATCATGAGGTCAAGATATCGAGACCATCCTGGTCAACATGGTGAAACCCTGTCTCTACTAAAGATACAAAAAATTAGCTGGGCATGGTGGTGCATGCCTGTAATCCCAGCTACTCAGGAGGCTGAGGCAGGAGAATTGCCTGAACCCAGGAGGTGGAGGTTGCAGTGAGCCGAGATCGCGCCATTGCACTCCAGCCTGGGTAAGAAGAGCGAAACTCCGTCTAAAAAAAAAAAAAAAAAAGAATTCAGTCTCATAAAGGTTGCATTATACATTGTCTTCAAAGAACACATTATGGACTTCTGGACATTTGGCTTTTCCCTTCTACCCTGAATACTTCCACCAAGGGAGCACATCCTACACGAGTGAGGACAATAAAAAGAGTTGCTGGTCATATTTTCTTAAAAACATCCTTATAGAGGCCGAGGCGGGAGAATCATGAGGTCAAGATATCAAGACTATCCTGGCCAACATGGTGAAATCCTGTCTCTACTAAAAAAATACAAAAATTAGCTGGGTATGGTGGCACGCACCTGTAGTCCCAGCTACTCAGGAGACTGATGCAGGAGAATTGCTTGAACCCAGGAGGCGGAGGTTGCAGTGAGCCAAGATGTCACCCCTACACTCCAGCCTGGCGCTGGTGACAGAGAGAGACTGTCTAAAAAAGAAAAAAATCAAACATGTAGGTTTAGGTCATGAAAAAAACAAAAACAGGTCATTAGTTTTGTAGAAACATATTGTTTAAAAGTGAAAATAGGAATTTCAGGTATAACTTAAGTTCTTCACATCAGGTTGATTTTGACCATAGAATGGATTGACTAGATTTTAATATATGAAATTTTTCATTTTTCTCTGGAGAAATTTCTTGAACCATTTTGGTAAAATGAATATTTTAAGAATCTAAGGAGATTTACTTCTTCTGACTTGGAAATTTCAACATCTTTTTAAAATTTCTTACCAACTTGTTTTGTCCAATGGGTATGCGATTGAAGAATATTATTACATAATAAAAAATAGTAAATTAACTTTTATTATGTAAAGCATATTTGCTCATCTTTTTCCTCCCTCATCACATTTTCTTCTCTTTGCCCTTTTTCTTCTCTCTTCCAAAACATTTGAGGAAGTACTATAATTATATTCATATATTCATTCTAATGGGTTACATTTGATAAATGATCGTTATGTTATTTGATTTTCTGACCTTTCTATGAATTAGCACAAATCATTGGAATGACTAAATTAAAAATTCTTTTTATTCATATGATTTCCTAATA